ATGACCACCAGCAGTGAATAAGTGTTCCCTGTCTCATCATCTATACCAGCATTTGTTGTCTTTTTAAAAAGTCTTAGCCATACTGACTGGGGTAAGATAAAATCTCAAAGTAGTTTTAATTTGCTTTCCCTGGTGGCTAAGATGTTTAATACTAAAATGAGCAAACAAATGTTTCATAGCCATTTTTATTTCTTTTGAGACCCCCCTGTTAATTCCATGCCCCAGTTTATTTTTTTTGTTTTTGTTTTTGTTTACTTGTATGCTTTTGTTGTGCTATACACTAATACTCTGTCATATATATAGCTGGTGAGGATTCTTTTTCAACTCTATAGGTGATCATCACTGGAATGGCTGTATCCTTTAATGTATGTATTTCTTTTTAGTTGCATGACATCCTCTTTGGTACTTAGTGGCCTTGATGCCCGTGCCTGGAAGTTCAAGAGCTTTCCTTACTTTCTAGCTGGTTCAAAGTATTAGGTCTTATGGGGATGTAGTTGATCCATTTGGAGTTGCTTCAGACAGAGTGGGAGATGAGAATGTCATTTTATTCTTCCACATTTAGCTATCCAGCTTGACTGAGACTATTTGCTGAAGAAGTTGTCCTCTCAACAATGTATATTTCTTATACCTTTGTCAAAATTAGGGTGAGTCTAGAAGTGAGGCTATGTATTTGGGTCCTCAATTCTAATCTATCAATTAGTGTGTCTGTTTTCACATCAGTACCATGGTTTATTATTATTATTAGTAGTATGGTAGTGCCTCCAGCAATGTTTTCATTGTTCAGGATTGTTTTGGTAAACCTGGGTCTTTTGCATTTCCACATGAATTTTGATATTTTTTTCCGTGAGGAATTGAATTGGAATTTTGATGGAGACTGCACTGGATTTATAGATTGCTTTTGGTAGGATGGCCATTTTCACAACATTAATCTTACTAATCCATGATCATGAGAGGTCTTTTTAATGTCTGGTATCTTCTTCAGTTTTCTTTATTTGGTGTGTTAAAATTCTCATTGTACAAGTCTTTCAGTTCCTCGATTGGAACTAAAAGTTTCAGGATATTTTATTTTGAGGTTATTGGGAATGGGATTTTTTTACCTCATTTATTTCTCAGTATGTTTGTTCTTGGTATATAGAAAAGCCTACTAGGTTTTTAATGTTTATATAATATATATATATATATATATATATATATATATATATATATTATTTGCAAATTGGGACACTTTGATTTCCTTATTTCCCATTTGTATACCCTTCCTTCCTTTTTTCTTATTGCTCTAGCCAGTACTTCAAGCACTATAATGAACAGGACATCCATGTCTTGTTTTTTATTTTCTTTGTTTAGAAAAATGTTTAGAAAAATGTTGACTGTAGGCTTGTATGTTGCCTTCCTTATATTGAGATACTCACCTGTGTCCTAGATTCTTCAGGACTTTTTATCATTAAGGGGTGTTGTATTTTGTTAAAAGCCCTTTCTACATCTAAGGAACTGAACATTCTTGGGTCTATTTATGGTGAGTTGCATTTATTGATTTTATCCATCCCTGCATTTGGGGGATGAAGCAGACTTGATCAGGATGGATGATATAAACATGGGTACATAGATTCTTGAATTCAGTCTAACATTTATTTTATTGAGAACTTATTGCATTAATGTTCTCAGGGAAATTCACCTGCAATTTCAGTTTTGTTTGGTTTTCATCTGGTTTTTGTATCAAGGTATAGTAGGTATATTAGTTCTTGTTTGACAGTCTGGTAGAATTCTGTGCTGAATTCATCTGGCCCTGAGTTGTTCTTAGTTATAATATGTTTAATTACCACTTCTATTTCACTGGTTGTTAAGGTCCATTTGAATTATTACCCCATCTTGATTTAATGGTGGTAGGCCATATGCATCTAGAAATTCACCTATTTCTTTTAGACTCTTTGTTAATTTGGCTAAAATTATGTTAAAGAACTTTTTCCTTCATTGATTATTTGTATTTTTTGTTCTGTTTCACATTATCTACTCTGATTTTGATTATCTCTTCCTATCTGTTTCTGGCTGTTGTTTGTTCATCCTATCCCCAAGGCTTTTAAGCATATCAAGATTTTCCAACTTGAGATCTCTTTTGTTTGTTTGTTTTGGAGGTAGGCACTTAGTGCTAGAGACTCCTCTTAGGACCACCTTCATTATGCCCCATGAGTAGGTGTTCGGTGTTTTCATTTTCATTCAATTCTAGGAAATTTTAAATTTCCTTCTTGATTTTTTCCTTGACTAAGCTGTCATTCAATAATGTGTTGTTTAGTTGTGTTCTTGTGGTTTTATTACTGTTGGCATCCAGCTTTATTCCATGTGGTCAAATAGAAAGCCGTGTTAGCCCAGCTATACAGTCTCGTAAAGCTCACAGTTAATCCTAAAAGGTTTTTAACATTTATCTATTCACTGGAAGTCAGAGAGGAAATATTTTAAAACAGTTTTGAGACATGTGTTGTCTAATGAAACCAAAGCAGTAGTAAATCCAATAGTGAAGATGGAGTATTTTATGAAAAGTATTAAAAATTTGGCTTATAGTCTGAAGAGAACCCATAGCTAAAAATTAGTAGTCTTTTTAACTACTTAACTTTCATTGGGTAATGATATCTGATAAGAAGAATTGGAGGAGGGAGAGAAAGCTGTATAAATGATAAAAATAAAGTACTCATATATGAAAATTTCAAAATATAAGGAGTTTAAATCAAAATAGGCAATTCTAACTTGAATTGAGTAGGTTTATTTGACTGTATGTAGTGTTAAATATAAATTTCAGAAAAGCACACTAGTACCTCCCCATTATGATTCAGTAAAGGTGATGGTTGTAGACCACAGCAAGGCAGGAACAAACCTGCATTAGTGAAAAGGTAAGAAGCACATGGCTTGTTGGAGGGCAAACAGCCAGAAAACAGCTAAGCGAACTAAACTCTGCACCCAGGACTCCAGCAGTATCGTGAGGGAGGGAGGCAGGATGTGGGCACATAGGCTGGCGGATCTATTGACACAGGTTTGAGATACCATTTTTTTCCACTGATGTATTTGTCTGTGATTTCCCTGTGTATGACTCAAATGGTAAAAACAGTGTTTTAAGTGACAATAGAGGTTATATCTGGAGAAAAATTGTATGAAAAATTTATATGAATTTGTCTAGACTGTATCCTTGTGTAAAGCTAATAATAACAGAAGTGTGCTGATTGTGTCAAAATAGTAGTTAGGAGACTTGGAAAAGATAGTTTTGAAGCTTATACTGTTAAAATATTTTTTTTAAAAGTACCATATGTATTCTTTGAAAATTTTTATGCATTTGTACAATATAGTTTTTAATGATATCTATCTACCATTAACCACCTTCCAGCTTCCCCTGTTACATCCCATCCCATCTACCTCCCAACTTCATATGTTCTTTTGTTACTATTATCTGGTTCCTATTCGTGTTGACCATATGTGCACGGCTGTGGGACTATGCACTGGTGCAGGGCCAACAAACCAACACCCATGTCCCCAAAGCAGCGTGACTCTCTCACACAGCAGCCTTCAGTCACTAGGAAGTCCTCTGTAAAGGTTGGAACGTTGAGTCCCCATCCTGATCAGTGCTGGAAGTTTGACTGGCTTAGTCTTGCACAGGTCTTGTTTAGGTAACTGCAGTTGCTGAGAAGTGATGTGTTCAAAAGCCATATCATGTCTCCAAATCAGCATTTCTCAGGTCTCTTCCCTGGCCTCCAATGCTTACATTCTTTCTGTGCTGTCACTTGTGATGTTCCTTGAGCCTTGGATGGAGAGAGGTTGATACAGCTAAGCACTCACAGTTAATTATTCTCAGTACTTTGACCTGCTCTCACTCTGCACTAACCACTACTCACTGCAAAAATCTTCTCTGACCAAAGCTCAGAGCAACAGAAATCTGAGTGTAAACATATTCGGATAGCAGTTTGACAGCACAACCATGTAGCAAAACAGTAATAGTAGGTTTAACCGAGGGCCTATGACCTCCCTGGTTATGGGCTTTTATGAGTTTTATAGTACCACACATGAAATTGTTGCTGTGGAGGGGGCATAATATCTAATCAGAAAGCAGTTAATTCCCTCCAAAATTTCCATGTCCTTATTCTGCCTGTGGGCACACCTTTCCATGCAGGTTGGTATGATAGCATACAGTGTCCAGTGCTAGTCAAGACTTTGGTGTCTTTTCTCTCCCAGAAGCTTGCATAACACTTGCATAAGCAAGCCATCAGAGAAAGGGTTTCCTAGGCAGCTGAGGGACGTTTGCTGATATCCTAAGTCTTATAAACTTGTTATGGTGGGCACCTCTGAGGTCTCAGTGACCAATAACTTGTAGGGAGATGTCTGGCACTGAAATTTTCATTTAATAACTCATGAAATGTACTTCTGTTCAAACGCATAAATATATTTTATGTATTAGATCATATATGTATATAAGTATATATTTTTATAAATGGGGTGGGTTTTTTGGCCCAATTTTCCAACTCCAAGTCACTGGGATTACAGACATGTACCACTAGGCTTGACCAAGTATTACAAATATTCTGACTCTAGAAGCTCTGTTCATATACTGACCATACCACAGTGTCTGTGCTGTTTTTACTACAAGGTCTTATTATGTAGGACATTGTGAACCACAGAAAGCTGCCTGCCTCTGCCTTCTGAGTTCTGGGATTAAAAGTCTGTGCCTCTATGCCTGGATTTTGTGCTATTTTTACCTTGCTGAACCCATCTTTAGTCTACAAGCTCCTTTTAAACTCTTAACACAGGGTTGGGTTTTTTTTTTTCATGATTTACTGTTAACAGGTTATCTGTCCTTGTAGAGAGTGAAAAAGGCAAAAGCCTTGTTTATTTTATTTCTCACAGCCCTAACAGGGTATCACACATCCATAAAGTACTCAGTAAATATTTGAACTCACAGTAGTGCCTCAAACTTAATCACACTGTTGTTTTAACCTGTGTTCAAAATCAATCTTTTCTCACAGCTGTCAGCGGCCACGTGGCTCTGTCCATTTGGATGATGGTGAATACTGGTCCAACAGATCAGGCTCTTTTAAGGGGAAATCTCACCGACCCGTCTTTGAAAACAGCATGGACAAGATGTACAGGAACTTATACAAAAAGGCCTGTAGCTCCGTTTCTCATACACAGGAAAGCTTCTAAGACCATCCACCATAAGCTGTATGAGTCCGTGTCAACCTCTCAATGAAAGCGTTTGATGTCATCTGTATTTGTATGCCTTTCTTTAAAACAGGTGTCCACTGAGTAACAGTTAGACTTGAACCCAGTGCATTTCTTCAAGTGGTAAATTATCACAGTCTAGCCTTTATTAGAGAAAAATGTGCTGTTTCCAATGTCAAAACTCTGCAACAGGGCTACAACTTCCAATGTGTGACAAGGCCATCCTGCCACATGTGCTCCTATGTATCATTGCTGACAAACTGAAGAATAGGTTCTTTTCTAGAATGTTGTTCCAGTTTTATTGCCTTTTAACTTTCTTTTCATCCTCATTGGCTGTTTATCTTATCTGGGTAAATTTAATTAATATCAGCTCCCTGTTATCAGTAATGCGCAAAAAGATGTTCTCTGCAGAAATAAACTTCAAGAATTTAAACCTGTTTTAGTCAACATTATTTATTTACTTTCCCCTTTAGAAGAGGCTATTGTATTTCGTAGATCCTAAAAACTAGCTTACATTGTAAAACTTACACATGCAATCACTCCTCTGGAAGACTAGCTGAGTCGTCTGAATGTCTAACAGCTAGATTAGTTTACTAGAAGAAACCATGGATGATTCAAAATGTAGCTAATATTTTAGTGTTGAATTATTTACAGTATTTTCTACTAGGGAAGTACATTTTGATGCAAGCATACTAAATGAAGCATCCTGTGTTGGTAAGCATGTAGAAACTAAAAATAAACGAAAATAAAAGAACCATCTTGTAATTTTATCTCTGCTATTTTCATAGGTATCACATCACCCAGGCAACAAGAATTCACACTTTAAAGGGACCATGGAGGGGTTAAAATAACTCAGTAGGTGTCTTTCAATACACACTCATAAACCTAGTGGTGGATTGATAAAATGTGTGTCTTCCCCCACCCCACATACCCATTAAGCCAGTGACACATTGAAAGTGCAAGAAAAAAAAAAAGTCTAGCATTTTACCAGAGTGAAGGAAGAGGTAGAGTGAGAGTGAAATATGAAACTGCTGGAACTTGAGGAGTTGGCTGTACGGGAGTGTTTGCTTTGTTGTTGTTGACTTCACCGTTCATTCACTAACTCCACATTATTCTTTAAAAGAAAAAAAAAGTCTTTGATTCGCGCTTCATTTAAATCTGACATTAAATTAAGACAGTAGATGACATACCTTTATATTATGTCAGAATAGAACCTTTAAACACGTCAAAGCATTGGGCAGTCTGTCCTCTATCAAAATGAGTGCCAGGGGCAAGAGTATTGGTCTAGGATTGCGCCTCATCTATGCTATTTTCAAGCTGAGTCTCTTGAGTGCTGTTTCCTCAGCTTCTGTGCACAGGAAGGGTGGAGTAGCCTCCAAACAATGTCCTGTGGATAAGAGCCAACATTCTATGAAAGGAATGTGGGAACATAGACCTAATTATCTTGTTGCTTGTGCCTGCTTACTACACACACACACACACACACACACACACACACACACACACACACACCTTCAGAGAGCCATTGGTAGAATACTAGGAATGAAAAGTGTTGCGGATGTGGGAACAGAGATGGTAAGCTGGCCCTGGGCATAGGTTCTTACATTCTTCTAACCTAAGAACATCTGCTATTGTAGCCACCAGTCCCAATTTCTCCAGCTCTGCTGTTGTATACCACACTCCCAAATGGCATTCTCAGATTCATTTGGGCACAGTTTAACAAAGTGTTGCAATTTGTGAGCACATTTCCCTGACATGGGTTATATTATAATGGTTTGTACAATGTGTTTTTAAAGGTTAACATGAATAAAGCTCTTTTTAGAATCCATGTCTGGGGACTGGAAAGATCAATTGGTAGAGTTTTGCCACATGAGCGGGATTGAGATCAGATCACTGGCATCCATGTGAAACCTGGGCACAGCAGCACTCCTCTGTAATTCCAGTGCTGGGGAGGTCGAGCTCCCTTCCTCCCTGGAGAAGGAGGAGGAGGATCTCTCAAGCTCACTGGCTGAGTCACACAGATGAATCATTGAGCTCTAGGTTCAGTGAAACACCCTGGCTCAAAAGGTCTGACTCCAGAGATTAAAAATCAGGAGTCAATACAGTGTCCTTAATTTTTTAATAATAGCTTTATTGAGATACAACCTTTTATATACACAGTTCAGTATTTGTTACACTGTTCCTTGAGCTGTACAACCATAACCACTAAATTTGGATATTTTAGCAGAGCAAGTCCTATATGCAGGAGCAACCACTTCCTGCTGCCCTTCCCCCAGCTCTTGGAAAGCATCAATCTGCTCTTTGCTTTTTCTGCATATTTCATATAAATGGAGTTATACTGTGTGAGACTTGCCTTGTCTAGATTCTTTCAAGTAGCATGAAGTTTTCAAGAGGTGCCCATGTATATAACATGTTTCAGTATGTTTTCCTTTTATTACCAAGCAATTGAGTGGCCACCAAATTTTTATATCCCTTCAGTTGACTGACAGCTGTTTTCCCACTTTTGATGTATTTTGAATATGTATATGGTTTGTGGATATATGGTTTCACTTATTTTTAAGTATAGTTAGGGTTTGAATTACAGCCATATGAACACCAGTGCCACCATATTGTACAGTCACCTACTCTTAAGAGTGCCTGGGCTCCTGTACCCCTCACTGGAACTACTTTAAACCTGTTTTCCAGTGTACTGCGTGTATGCCTGCAACTGGAAAATGCCCACCACTGTCCTAATTTTCCAATCTTGTTATGCCTATGGCAAACTCTTATGGCTTTGTGCATGAGAACATATGGGGTAGCTTGAGACAGAGCAAAGCTGATTCACCTCCTGCTCAGGATACCAGAAATACAGGAAAAGACTAGTGCCCAAAATTCTCTTTAAGAAGCACACACATCTCATCAGCTCTTAGTTCTTGTTCCCAGTACCTCCCAAGAGTTCAGCTCTGGAAAACAGTCCTTTAAAAGATGCAGCCCTTTTGGAGACACTTAAGACACAAAGTGTAACAATGTGGTACAGAGGAGAAAACTCAGAACATTTTTTGTAAGATCTGGAATGAGGCAAAATGTCTGCTCCCTCCATTATCAGGCTGCTCCTGAGAGTCCTAGTCAAAATTTAAAGGTGTCCAACGTGAGATGCAAATTGTATTTGAGATAATGTGATCATATAGATATGAAATCATAAAGATCTATTCAGAAACCGGTAAGTGGAACCAGTAATTTGTTAAATGAAGTTGCCAAATCAAAATCCAAAAACCTGTCATTTTAGACAGCACAATGACCTAAATAAATAGAACATTTATAAAGATTAATGCCACTTCCATTTGTAACAATAAAATATGCAGAAATTAAAGATATGAAAATTAGAAAACAATGGTAAATTTAAAAACTAGAATACAAAGACATGAATTCAGGGGTTGGAAGAATTAACACTGTGAAATGTCTGTACCATGCTAAGCGATTTCCATAGTTGAAACAGGCTTTCTCAGACTCCCAACGTCAATGTTTAAATAAAATTTTCATATGGAACCATTAAACTCTTCAAATAGCTAAAGCAACTGAGTAAGGAGAAAGCTGGAAGTACTTACACTTTCTGATTTCAAATTACATTTGAAAGCTGTAGTATAACACTATCGAACTGGCACAAAATCAAACACATGGGCAAATGGAACAGAATGGAGTGTTCAGAAGTAAACCATATAGATTTGGTTAACCTTCAGTAAAGATGTCAAGAATCCAAAATGAGGAAAATAGCAAAAATAAATAGTAAGGATTGCACCAACCTATGAAGCTCCAATTGCAAAGAAAACAGTCAAAATGAATAATATGAGTCATTCACCTACTAGGTAGTTAATATATTAAACCTACAGGGAACTCATACAATTCAATATGACAATTACAAGTAATTTAAAAATGGGAGAAAAATACAAATACCCAAAGAAGGAATCAAATGGCCAATAAGAATATAAGAGGATGCCCAGTGTCTCTATAGGAAATGCAAACCAAAACCTCGCACATAGTGGTATGGCAATCAAAATCAAAATAAGATAGAGTTATAGAGGCTTTGTAGATAAAAGTGTGTACTACTCTTGCAAAGGACCAGACTTCAGTTCCTAGCACCCATCTTAAGTAGCTCACAACATCCTTGAACAATAGCTCCAGAAATTGGATGCCCTCTTATAGCCTCATATGTGCATAGACTCACAAAGATACACATATACAAAATATCCACACTTTCTTATAATCCAGCAGTCCCACTTGGGATATATATGCAGAAGAAATCAGGGTCACAAAGAGAGATCTGCTTTCCTACATTCGTCACTGCATTATGAAGCAAAGGGATGGAATCAACATATACAATGAAACAGTATTCAGTCTTTAACAAGAAGCCTTGCCATTTTTTACTTCATGGATGCTGAGAAATAAGACAAAAATACTGCATGATTTCACATAAGGAATACAAAATAGCTAAAAGGAGAGAGCAGGAGAGTGATCAACATAGGTTAGAAGAGGCAGGTATAGTGATCAGAGGGTTCAAAGTCTCACGCCATGCAATATGAGTAAACTTTAGACATTAATGCACAGCCTGGTGGTAATAATCTATTATCCAATATTTGCTAAAAAATTATAAATCTCAACATATTAACTATGTTGTATGCCACCACTTGACTAGTGGCGGGCAGGCAATGCCTAGTGGCTTGTGGCTCGAGGCGACTGGCAGCTGTGGCAGCAGGTTCTTCACTTCATCTGGGAACCTTGGGGCATGGGGTGATCCCACTCACTAACTCTATTCTGTAATGATAAGTCTTTACATGCCACGTGGGCCCTTTCTGCCAGCTGCCTAAGTTCTGCCTACCACGTTAGGACCCCCAAAATAATACGCAGAATCTTATATTAGTTTACAAATGCTGCTGGCCAATTGAGTAGGGTTTCATATATGCTAGCTCAGTCTAAATTATCATAAATCTATATATTTTACAAGACTT